GGAAGGTGAAACAGAAGAAAGAGAGAGAAAGAATGAGAGTGCGTGAGGGAGGGAGAGAGAGAGAGAGAGAGAGAGAGAGAGAGAGAGAGAGAGAGAGAAAAGAACAATAATAAATAAAGTACACAAATTTTTTATCTTCCATATTGAGCATTGGATTTTTAACCAGTCATTTCTATAATATATACCTATGAGTCTACTGTACAAAATCACTTTTTTTTTCTTTTATATGTTATACAATATATGTGTATAATTAATAATTACACCACAAAAGCAGTATTTATTTTTTCCAAGTTAGCAGTTTCATTCTTCATGCTAGAAATCTAGCACCTATACATTTTTTAATAATATATTCCATTTGAAAGCCCTAAAAGTAATTTTATTTTATGTTTAAAACAAATTCTTCGTCCCAACTTTAAAACTGCTAATTCATACATTAACATCACATGAATTTTTTTAAAAATATTAAATTTATAATATTTAATTTTTTATTTGTCTTAAAACATTCTGAGAAAATTGAGAGGTAATTTATTCAGCATAAGCGGAAGATAATTGGAACAACCTTGATGTTAAAAAGACATACAATTAAAAACATACACAAAATAGCTTAAAAATGGGTTTAGGAAAACTATCAAATATTTTAATCTTTTTTTTTGTTTTTTTGCAGTGGTAACGTACAAAACTTCAGACAAAATTTGAGTCACTCCACACTGTTGTGAAATGTTTAGAAATAATGTTGATGACTATTTTTGAATGCCTGGCAGTCAAGTGTAAAAATAAAACAATGAAAACTTATCGAACTGCTTAATCACTAAAACAATGCATGGTAACCACCCGCATTAAAAATATATTTTTTTCTGTAATTTACTAAATAAGTGTATTTATAATATACATATAATATAGTTTTTATATTTTAAAAATGTACACGCATAATTTTTTCACTTTTTTGCATACACATATAAATTCTATATATAATAAAAAATATATATAAAAATATTTATCATTTTTGTTAGCTCTGAGCTTCCCAGATTACCTAAGGTTTAATTGTGAGTAAAAAATATATATAAAAATCATATATAAATTTTACATATATATTAATTTATATAAACTTCCATAAACAAGAAATCTATTGATAAAATTGTCCATTTCAAGTTTTCAAATTGAAAAATAACTAAGATTTCTGTTAAGATGCAACTTTACAACTTCAAGAGTGTTTATCCACAAAATAAAATATAAAGATTTATTACTAATAACAATTAATAATGCACTTTGAAGAAATGTAAAATAAAGTCTATTTATGAACAGGTACACGAGGCTACTCAGAAAGTAATTTCTGTAGGAGGGAGGATTTTTGGTCATTGGGTCTATTGACTTCTTCAAGCCCGCTCTACAAAAAAAGAAAAAAAAGAGAAGATAAATAAGAAATTCAAAGATATAATTATATGTATTTTAAAGAATAGTTGTACCCTTGAAGCCAGCGAAGCAGATTGAGGACTAGCTCCTCCCATATCTGACATGCCACTCCACATTTTAGGACTTTCAGAAACACCAACTGTAAACAAAAACAAAAAAGTTAAAAATATTTTTCATCGTTTGTTTTGCCCACGGTATATCCTACTGCTTCTTTAGGTTAGAGTTTTACCTAATCATTTTTGGTAAGGTATGGGCTATAATGAAAAGTAAGAACACGCATTTCAATTAAAAATGAACTACAAGGTCTTTTCACTTATGAACTTTGTTCCAGGGACGAAACAGTAATTAGACTAAACTACATGAAGGAAGGAGTCACGATAGAGATGATGATAGCCTCAACATGCCTTATAACTTATTGGGCCTCCACCATTCTCCTGAGCACTGCAGCTTTACAGCTTATTGTACTCCTTCATGTCTCCATTTTTGGGCAGCTCGCAACACGCGAGTGAACTGAGCCCTCTGTGTGCTGATGTTCTTCCACCAAAACAACACATTTTTTTCAGAGTCGGGGGATCCAGGACTATAAAATCGAGGGTTGCTTAAATCCGGTCCCACCCCTGAACCTTCCATTGATAAATGCCGTGTCAACTTTCATTGCAGCCACCCCCCTATGCATCAGACTTAACTTGGTCCTGACTTTTTGTTTCTCGCCCATTAAAATTACATTAATAAATTTTAGGTTTTGTAATTGTAGTTTGTAAGGTAATAAAAAGCAAAACCCTTAATCTGAGCTAAAATAAAATATGATTTTTAAAATTTAAGAAAGTAACACTATGAACTTTTTTGAAATCTTTGTAAAATTATAAGTATAGAAGAATTATCACCTTGTGGTTGGATGTCAAAAGATATCCCAAGGTTCTCGAGGCCGGTGACCTGATGATGGGGTGACATCGTGACTTGCTGACCACCGCCTGACTGTCTCACTCCACTCCCTGTCACCCCGGTCCTTGCACCGACCATCGCCCTCAGTTCCTGCCTAACATACTCCGTCATACCGTTGTTCCCACCTTTAAACGACAAGTAAAAATTAGAAGGCAAATTTTCAATCCTTGAAAATTAATAAATAAAATTATATAAATATATTCATAAGAAATTTAAAAATAAATAAAATAACATTTTGCTATAAAAATAATTTTTAGAGAGAAAAATTAATTTTATTAAATGGCTGGAACTATCAAGTGGCACGATTTCCCCTACTTTAGGCATTTTTTTATAACGCAGTATATAAAGCAGAAATAAACGCTTTATTCTTACTTGATCAAGAGCTTGATTTTAAAATAAATATTTTTATTAAAATATAATTCCCAAAACTAAAAAAATATAGCCATTCATTTTGTAGTAACCAATTGCTATGATCTTACTGGGAAAATCTGACTGAATTTAATAAATTTACAAAATGTGATACAAATCATGACAATATTTGCATTATTATCCAATATGGCCAATCACTGTTTTTTTAACCTATCATATTAGAATTATGTTTATCTATAACCATGCTTTTATTAACAATGAATGTTATGCAGGTATTATAAAGTTTTTATTAATTGAATTTCTTTTACAAATTTTACAATTGTAATAATAAATTTTGAAGAAATTTAAGAACAAATAATTTTTGCCTGATAAAAATTAACATTACGATTATTACCCTGGAAGTTTCTGTTTTCATTACCGATATCAATAAATTGATGAAAATATATAAAACAGTCATGCAATAATATTATTAATGCTTTATAACCAAACATTGGTACAAATGTATTTAACAATAATAACTAGGACACACAATAGAACAAACACAGTTGAGAAAACAAAAACAAAAAAACAATGAATTCAAGGGTTGGTAACACAATTAACAACAAAGGTTAGTCACACATATGAAGCGAGTGCAAATTACATGACAAGAAATTGCTTGAAGCACAAGCAAACCCCACATTAATTTAAAGAAAAGAATAAAAAGAAAACACATTAAGAAAGCACAAAGTATCGTTCACAAAAAAAAAAGAAAAAGACGCATGCAAAGTGAAAATACAGACAATACAGAAAATTTGCACAAAACACATGAACACAAAATATAAATACACAGTATAAAAAAATATTTATTATAAAAATTTTATTTGTATGGTTCTCAAAAAATATGTTCTATGGTTTTGAGAAGCATCTTAAAAATTACTTACATTTTTAGCAATGATTTTTTTTTTTTAAATGAAGCTCTTTACTATAAAACATACATTATTTTAATAAACATATTCAACACATACTAATAATAAACTAAAAGCGTATGTATATTTCTTATTTTGCATGTAAACCCAAAAAGCTGTGTTGTATTATGTTGTTTATCCCTTAGTGAAATGTCTAAATAGAGTGCTGCAAAATAAAAATAAAATGTTAAAATGAGAGCAGACATTTAAACAATACACAAAGGTGAGACACATAAATTTGCGAGTGTAGCCATTATTTCAAGTGCTCCATGTTACACACAAAGGATCCTCTGGGTAAAGGACAACTATAAGGTTTTAATTCATGTGTATTATCACTCACTACATGGATTTCTAACTGGAGCTTTACAATTCACCCAAAATTTGTTTTAATGTATACAAGTTTTTCTATAAAATCAGTTTTTTAAAAATAAAAAACCCTTTAATTATTAAATACCTTTATTTTTAAAATTAACAAATGAATATTAATTCATTATTATTAATATATTGTACATTTTAGTAGTACTTTAATAATAAAGTAAAAAAATTACAATGCTAAAGAGTACTGCGTTGTAAAATGAATATATACTTTTGTTGACATTGGTCACAATTCAACTTAAGATCCTCCAAAAGTGTTTTGTGTTCACAATTCGTTGGGGTTTCCAGGTTTGAAATATTTTAAAAAATGATCTCATTATCAATAAAATAGTCAGTATTTCATCAATTCGATTTCTCGTTTTGAAATGTTTCATCTTGGCAGTGAAAAGGATACAAATGCGAATTTTCGGTAAAACACCTTTTGCAGGATCATAGTTTTGATTAATTTTCAAAACTTCTAATTTCTCAACACATTGTGGCTTTTTAAACAATAATTTTTATTTTGCGTCATATAAATATGGCTTCAATTTGAAAAAAAAGCAAATGGGAGTTAAAAATTCAAAATGGTAAAAGTACATTGTTCAAAATCTACATAAATTTTCTTCCTTCAACAAATGTTTGCTGTGAAATATGATGCACATGTAATTTTTCATTTGCATGAGCTTAATATAGCTGAATTAATTTAGTTATTTTCTTCCAGATTCTTTGGCTAGCATTCTTCTAGATAGCACAAGGGAAAAATTACATATGCATGTCTCATTTTGGCAGATTTAGTACAAATACTAAATAGAACTTGTAATAATCATGAAATACAACACATCCCGAATAAACATAATAAACAAATAAGAATTAAGTCTGCCTACGTAATTGTTTATAAATTATATAGCGTAAAAAAATACAAATACCACATGTAGTGAGTGTTGATTTTTAATTATAACCCAATTGGATTCACCACCAAACATATATTATTAGCTTTGTGACAGTTGCAAAAAAAAAAGTCTATGACAGCATAAAACATATTGTGTTTAAAGGAGATGTGAAAGGATATCAAAGGAGGAACATGCTATCAAGGAATTGTTGCTAGATCGTTATTAAAACTCAGATCTAGGCCGACGATGGGTTTCCGTGTTTTAAGACTTACCGCTAGGGTGGGGCCTAAGGCTGTACCCTTCAACACCCGGGTACTGGCCAGTGTACTGCTGGTCAGGATAAATGAGTGTATGGTGGGGGTGGTGGTGTTGTTGTTGTTGTTGTGGTTGGTGATGGTATGGTTGAAGCTCCTGCAGGTCCTTCCCAATGTAACTGGGACGGATGCAACGACCGCCTCCTGAAAAAACATGGCCAAAACCTTCTTCAAGCACCCAATTTACTTTCTTCTGAAATCGGTCCTCGATGACGGCTCCACGGCTACTTTTTTCCCTAACCTCAGCTTTGTCTTGGGCAAATGGATGCATTTCATGGCATAGTCGGTAGTAATCTTTCATGCAATTAATAATTTTTAATTTTGGGTTAAACGATGAATATAAACAACAAAAACCAGTATTACCAACTATCATCCCATCTCTAAAATTTATATTCCCACGCTCCCCTTCATTAAAATGTCTCCTCTATTCAAAAACTTCTAGAATGCTTTTATATTTTAGATGCATTAAAAACAAGTAACCAATTAGTAATTAAATTTACAGACTTATGCAAAGAGTTTGATAAAGTTTGCCACCTCATACTCTTTTATAACTGAAATAAATTGGATTCTCAAGTCAAATACTCAATTGGATTTGAGTGATTGAAAAAAAATCTAGTATCTATTAAAAAAAGTCTTTTAAAGAAGATTCAAGTGATCCCTGGTGTACTTCGGGTGGCCAGCTCTTTCCTTTATTATTTATTACAATTAATTAAGGTTTTTAGTTGAGATAAAAAAGTCAATGGCACGAGCGGGATTCGAACCCACAATCTTCGGCTTGATACGCCGCTGCTCTACCACTTGAGCTATCGTGACCTCGATCCACTCGGACTCCAACTTCCTATCTTATCTCAACCCCACCTTTTGAGTTTTTCCTCCTTTTTGCCATTTTTCAAATGTCGTGTAATCGGATTGGATTCTCGACGACAAATGAAATGGCCACGGAGAGCTTGTCGTCGAGAATCCAATCCGATTACACGACACGACATTTGAAAAATGGCAAAAAGGAGGGAAAACTCAAAAGGTGGGGTTGAGATAGGAAGTTGGTGTCCGAGTGGATCGAGGTCACGATAGCTCAAGTGGTAGAGCAGCGGCGTATCTAACCAAAGATCGTGGGTTCGAATCCGCTTGTGACACTGACTTTTTATCTCAACTAAAAAGCTTAATTAATTGTAATAAATTAATTGGTCAAGCGGACCACAAAATTAGTGAATTTATTATTTTTTTTATTAATGATATAAAATAAAATGCTTTATTCGTGATTTGTTGCATTGTTCATACAATAAAAGACCCAGGTTTCACTTCTGATTATTAACTTATATTTAAAAAAACATTATTTTTATTGTAAATAAAATTTTTAAAATGCAAGGATTCCTTAATAAGGATTCTACTGAATCTAAAAATATAAAATTTATTTCTTGTCAAATCCATTTTGGAATAATAACACTACGATATAGTTTTCTCATTTAGCGTAGGTGAAAATAATTTTTTAAATTTGTTGCCCATTAATTTAAAGGAACACTGATATATTTACAATAAACTTGAACTAGTGAAATCCTAGAAGTAGAGGCATACAAATTTGTAAAATAGTATTCGCTTACAAAATAGTCAATAATCTGGAGACGATCTAATCTCAAAAACAAAATTAAACCTAATTTACCCATTGTACCGACCAGATTATTACATATTAAAATGTATTTTTTTCATACATTTTGGCTCGTTTTACCATAATCACTGTCGCTTTTTTATTTAAATAAACTCATTTATTTTTCTAATTTAAAATTTTTCATGTTGGCTGAAACAACATGATTATGATTGAGATGAATGATCATGGCAACCATGCCAAAATGTAAGAAAGAAAAACCAATACGTTTAGATACGTTAAAACAAACTTAAACCAAACCAACTAAAAAAGCTTCTAAGATGAATGAATTTTTAATATCAGGAAGCACTTCATTCCTATTTATTACTTTTATTAAAGAGGATTAATTGATGAAAATTATATCAACAATACATTTTCTAAAAAGTCTAAAAATCTGGCCTAACAATTTTTAATTCTAAGCAAACTGTGAATTTGTTTGGTTAACTAAAACATCCATAAAATATTTTATATAATGCTTATTTTTAAAGTTGTATAAAAAATTGTGTTTTAGAGAGAATTTTGCACATGGTATTCATATCTATTAAGAACTTTAATTACAATATACCTACATACAATTACTTAATGGATAATTAAACCTACATTAACTAAATTTTGCAGTTTGTCAGAAAACATAATTGGAAATCTCAAAAATGAAGGAAATTTTTTGTTGCAAGTCAGGCAAAAAAAAGCTAAACAGAAATATTTACTACCGATGCCAAATGTATAAATGTTTATTCAAGAAAGAAAAACTACTGGACATCCAAAGCTGAGGTTAATAAAGAGGATGTGAATTAAAAGTAATGAAAAACAAGCTGGAAGTAAAACAGTATTATTACAGAGTACCAGAGAGAAAAAAATGTGTTACATGTGTTGAATTGTGCTTAGAATCTAGGCTATCACTGGGGCAAGAAACAACTTAATGATAGAAATTTTATTTGAAAACGAAAAAAAGAAATGAGTCAAATGCTCAATGCAAACAAGATGTCATAAATTTAAAAAGAAATCACAGTACTATATAAAGTTCAAAACAAACCAAGCCTTAACACTATTCTCAAGAAAGGAAAGTTGGTAGGAAATTGAAAAACTTAAAAGGCAGCAGAAGACAAGTGAACTTAAAATGGGTTTATAACCCAGGAAAAAAAGTGTTAAAATATAATCATAGTTACCAATCGACTGCATGTCCCTGGTAGATGAAACAGCCCGTATGTCTATTTTCAAATAGTACAATATACCGTCCTCAATTATAAAATAATATACCTAGCCTATTTTTCTACAAATTAGACAAACTAAGATCAAAAATGTTTCTCTACTATTCTAATTCAGGCCATAAGAAATCCAATATAAATTGAAAAATTGGAAAAGGGATTTTGAAGAAATTGCTCATGCGTCACGAGTCATGCTTAACACTACGTTGATGGACAGAAAAAAAACTTTTTTATAAAAAAAACCTTCAAATCCAACACCAGAAAAATGAACAAAATTTAATGTTAATACAAAACAAAATAAAACAAATCGGAAGATTTTGCTTGGCTTCAAACTTCAATCGTCGAGGGAAACCCTCCTGTCTCTTACGGAGAATTGGGAAAAAAACAAATTGAGGTTATTTGACGAAGAACTACAAAATGTCAGTTAAAAATTCCAAGTAAAAAAACTAAATATAAAATCATACCTGGAAGATGGGTTGTTGCTTGAGGTATTTGTGGTGGTGGCGGTGCAGGGTGTGGTCCAGACATACTTCTCTGCAATCTGTGGTAACTCGCTGCTGTCGTGGGCGAAAGTTCAGGAGGAAAGGGGCTTTGTCTGGATCCTGGACTTGTGAGTGACCTCACTGGTGGGAGGCCTCCTCGGTTCACACCACCTTGGGTCACGGTCGCTACACCGCCGGTGCCACCACCCCCACTTCCAGGTGGTGTTGAAGGTGTGAAACCAGTTCTTACACCTCCAGAACTGTAGTTACTACCCTATTAACACCAAAATGATGTTTTTTTTAATGTTAGGTTATTTTGTGATACAAAGGCAGTAGTCTGAAGACTAACCGTTAATTGAGCATTGAGCATAGGATTTTGCTGCTGCTGAAGAGACAGCCTATTGGCCTGCTGCTGTGACCAAGTTGTACTTTGTGTTTGACTACCAAAGCCCTGTTGTGCCTGTAATATTTAATAAAATTATATTATACGTGAGATTTCTTTGAGATCGTCTGACAATTATTGCTGCTTCTGTCAGAGTGTTTCATTTCACTATACAAGCATTTCACTATATTCTTTGGTGGTTTTTTTACCCTGCTGAAGAAGGCAAAATGCCTGTCTGGCAGGTCAAAGCAGGAAAAATGATTAGAAATACCAAATGATAAAATTGTATTATTTATTACTGAATTTTTTTAAAGTTAGAAATGTTAATTATAAAATCTAATCGTAAAAAAATAGCTAATGCATTACCTGAGAAAGCCTAGGTGAAAGCTGGGCTTGCTGGAAATTTTGTAGGGATGTTGGACTGAGCCTTGCTTGTTGGCCTTGACCTGTTGGATTGGCTGTGGCCGGCTGGTTGCTGCCTCCACCACTTCCACTACCTCCACTGCCAGCATTTTGGAAACTATTCATCCCACCACTAAAACAAGTAGTAATAAGTAATTATATTAAATTTTTTATCGGGCCGAAACAACTCACTTGACTGGAGAAAACGGCTGTGGAGAGTACGGCTGCCTTTTGCCAGGCGATATTTGAGATCCAGACCTGATCATGTTCGGATTGTTGCCACCAGAACTATAACTGTTAACTGGCGAATGCTGTGAATCCGGAACGCTTCCGGATCTTTGTAAGGAAACGTTGGGAGCCACGGTCATGAGGGAGTCGATATTGTGAATTCCCGGGTCTGCTGAACTGGCAGCAGCATTGGAAGGTATAAGCAATTGTTGCTGTTGCTGTTGTTGCAGCAATCGTTGTTTCTGCTGTTGTTGTTGCTGTAGGATTTTACTCCGTTGTTGTAATTGCTGTTGCATCAAATGATGTTGCTAAAAGATAAACAATTGATGATTAAATCCTAGTTACATTTAAATCATAATGATTAATAATAAAACCCAAAAAATATATAAAACATTAATTCTTATATTTATTGAAACTCTCAATGAAAGTTGTTGAGATTATTGTAAAGTCACTTATAATGAATTGGCAAACAATAATAATGATTTATTAAAAGATAAAACAAGTCTAGAGATTTTACCGGATTGGTAATAGTTGTATATTGGGCTTGCCGCAACTGAGCTTGAAGTGGTAACCTTTGCCTTTGATGGTAAACAGGAGGTGGAGGAAACTGTTGCTGCTGCTGCTGTTGGTTAGTTTGTTGATTAGTTGTAATGGGCTGGTTTGAATTGTAAACAGGATTGTTGTTTACAGATTCACAATCCAACATTAATGATTTTTGTATGGCGTGTATTGCCATTTTCTCATTTATAAGGTCTTGATCGGCAAAAGGGGGCCCTCCGCTTTGTCCACTTGTCTGAGCCTCCATTGAATTGATCATATTCATGAGATCAGAGGGGTCAGGGACAAATTCAATGACTTGGTCAAGAATCTTGGATAAAATAGGGTCTGATGATGACTGATCGTCCCAGGTCTGCTGCTGGTTGTACATGGCCTGCTGTGATCGTGAACTAAGCTCACCAGCCTGTCTTTGGACCACCTGTTGCTGTTGGTTTACTTGACCAGGAGAAGGTACGGGATTCGTATTCTGCTGAATCGAACCGCCATGCCAACCACCTATAAAAGATTGCAAATATAAAATCAAAAATAGCTCATTTTAATTTTTTTAAATGAAATTACCTTGTTGTGGGTTTGTTTGTTTGATCCTTGGCATTTTGTCCTGAGGCGTAGCTGATATTACACTAGCAGGAATAGGAGGTATTGTGGTTGGAGTAGAAGGCCTCTTGGCAAGGAGAGTGGCTAGCATCTTATTTTTCTCCCAGAGTTTAGAGTTCCCAGGGGAAGAAACAGGGGTAGCTGGTGGAAGTGCATCTAACACAGAAGTAGGCCTTTTGGGTCCTCTTGTGGTTTCGTCTTGATTCATGTTAGGCGCATCTTCAGAACTTGGCCTCTTCCTACCTTTTCCAATACTTTCAGCTGGGGAAGACGTTGAACGAAAAACAAAGTTCTTCAGAAGAGGCTCTTCACTACTAGTTCCAGACTGCTGAAAAAAAGTAAAGAATGTTCTATTTAAGCACATAATAAAAGAAAAGACATGAAATTTAATCTTTTAATATTATTTAAAATTTGAAAATATGCTCTTGGCCATGACAATCCCAAAAATATACTCTTTTTCTCTCCTTAAGTTTTGTAATATATACCTCTTGGTTGCGCTCTTCTTCTTTTAATAGTTGCTGCAGAAGCTCATTCTGTTTTTTAAGACCTGCTCTTGCTTCAACATCGTCATCATCGCTTTTTTCATTTAATAGCTATAAAAAATTTATTATAAAAATTTGAATAAGTCCAAACTTTAAAATTGTCTTTACCTTCAGTAACATGTTGTTGGGCTGTTTAGGTTGTTCAGCAGATGCATGCTCGTCCTCCTCTTGGTTAAGAAGACCTTTAAGTATTCGATTTCGATTCCTGTTTGAAGTGCCTCCATCTGGTTCAGAGTCTGTGCTAGTCCTTTTCGTCATCAATAGATTCCTCAACCGACCTGAATCCGAAGAGGCCATATCATCCGACTCTTTGTCTTCTCCAAGAGGAGGTGAGAACGGGAAGTTTGTTGAAGTGAAAGGGGTAGTTGGTGCAGGGGCCAAAGGGCTTTGGGTAGGCGTGAGGGATGCTCGCGACTCTGGTCTTTCCCACATTCGCTCTTCTCCAAGCTCCCACGTCGAGCTTGGGAACATGTCAAAACTTGTAAAATCCAGGTCAGTCGAATTTAGAGTGACAGTTTGGAAAGCAGTCGAGTTGCTGAGGGTTATCGTGTTAGCGACTTCAGACGAGCTCACACTACCACGTGTGTTCGACCCATTCACGTTCGCAACAAGCGTCGCTCCTACAGAACTCGTTGAACTCTGACTGTTTCCCCCAATCCCCACCGGGGAAGAACAGCTTTCCAAGCTGGGCAACGGCAACTCATTTTCTCTGTAATAAATAAAGAAAAATATTAAAATCAATAAAAATTTCCACGACAAATATGAAAGCACAAGTTATACAAATATTGATAGTTTTGTTCTACAAAGTGATAATTATGATCCATATTTGTAATGTTTCATAATCTAAAACGGTTAAAAAACTGAAGGAAATGTGCTTGGCAACTGGTAAAATCAAATTGACAAGCAGTATTAAATTTGTGTGTCATTACTCATTATTTCTATACCTGGATAGGTTCAAAAGATAAAGGGTGAATCACCTTGCTTAAGGATTTGTATAGTTGCTATCTTAAGCTTCAACAAAGCTAGTTTCAATCAATAGTAATTACAAAAACCTTAATTTCTTAAAATAATCTTAAAAATAGTTCAAACTTAGTACTGCAACAAAATAAATAATAGTAGTGGTAGTAATTTTTCAAGTGTTGAAAACAAACGTCATCATGCACAATATCACTGATTTAAAGAACTACAAAAACGTTTTGCTATTTGTTACATACTGATAAATTGAAACAAATCTAATCAACGATGATGAAGACAGTGAGATTCAATACAAACTGACTTTTGTAGTTGCTTTCTGTTCAATCTAATCTCGTATTGTTAAATCAAATAATGTAAATATTTAATATTTTGGCGAATATTGTCTTAGAGATGCCAAACTTCAAGTTTACATGTCTACTGAATGACATAATATTTTACAACAAACTATTTAGGGTATGATTGATCCACCCTTTCTCAAATATTTTCTGATTTATTGTTTTTATTATTAACTCATAAAATCAAAATATGAAACTGGTAAATAATAATAAAGAGGCTTTAAGAGTAATCATTAAATTAAGGAAGCATTTTACCCAACCAATATATTTGACAAAAAATCAAAACGTCCATTACTGTGATTACAAAAATGAAATTATACCTTAAAATAAAAAATATTATGAATCTTACCCAATGATGGAATGAGTGGCCATTATGAAGTCCATTTCATGCGAATTGGACGACTTAAACAACTTTGACTTGGTATGGACATGGACATACTTTTCCTGCATGGTCGATTGAGACGCCACTCTTAGCCGGTAAATGGGGGATGTGCTTTGCCCAACGGTAAGGGCTTCTTTAAGATGTGCTGAGAGTTTTGCCAGGTCACCTGAAATGAAATATTTGTATTCAGATTTTGTTAAAGCTAAGAAAAAAGCCTGTTGCTTAAGAAGTAAAAAACTTTGCACTCACTTGTATGACATAACTCTTCAAGGTTTCTATTAAGCAAATCTTTATTTAAGAAATGTGTATATGAGGTAGATATCCCAGTAGTGTCAACGGCAATTATTTTCCCTGAGGTGTCTAGCTTCATACTGAATTGTTCAATAGGTGTACTTAGGTGTTTTTCATTGAGTGGTATCCTCCTGGCTACACACATTAAGCAGTGACTCATGTCTCCGCTCTCGTCATTATTATCGCTACTCGCTCCGCCTACACTTTGTGGTAATTGTGTTGAAGAGATCTAAAATATAAAAAAAAGTAAAACAATGTTTAAAACGAAGAAATCGCAATCTTATTCTGTTCTGTCTCTGTGAAATAATTACCTGCATGTTCTCATATTTGCACACTCGCTGCTGCTTTTCTTCCATAGTTTGGTCGTTGTCGTCAGGGGGCTTTACAAGGAACCTGCAATTGAAAGTCCTATTTCTGGGGGGTGGTGCCCCTCCGGCCTGGGCGGTCGACCCTTCCAGGCTCCCCCACGCTGGGGGAAGGAGGCAAGATGAAAATCTCGTGTGGTCGCCGTGGTGGAGTATGTTGTACACGCTTTTCCCTAGGACCTCCTCTTTGCTGTATTTTATAAACTGGGACACGTTTTCTGTAACGAACTCCACTTTGCCTTCTGAATTGACTACGAATAAGAAACCTTCTAGAGCCTGTAACAGAGGAATAAAATATTTCTTAACTATAGAAGCCAATTTTTAAAGTGTTTCAATTTTACAAGTATATAATGGAAGTAAAATCAACTAAAATAAACTGAAACCAAACTTTATGAAAGTTATACAATAAAACCACGAAGGAAGAAGGACCCAAGCCGGTTCAGCATGATATATACAGTTATGGGTTGTAAAAAATTTAAATTCTGAGATCGAAAGGAAATTTTGGAGCAAAGAAAAAACAATTGCAAATCGAAATTTGCTCTCATACCTGCTCATTAAATAATGAAGCCTGTGCTTTGTTACAAATTCTCCATTGGCAGTTGCTTTTTATTTAAGTTTGTTTTAAATTTAAAACTGAACTTGGCAAATTTTTATTTTCTATGACGGTACTAGCATTAATCGTACCTGTTATCTTAAAAGCTTTCCAAGTAAAACCCAATTACAATTTCCAATAAAGTGATGATATTTGGAGCATTTTTTTCTCTGAGATTCCTTGTTTTATAGATAAAACCTGAGATAACAAGGATAATATGGCTTTGTGGCAAAATTAGTCGTAAATTTTTCTATTTAGATAAGATATATTTCTTTGAACAATGACATAGACCGATTGTAGATTGAATTTGTACTTTTCTTAGGACGCCACCCCAAAGAGGGTGGCAAATCTTGCCTTATTTAATGATGAATCCTGCGATAAGGGGTTGATATGGAAACAAACTGGCAGCCTGAAAACGTCCGTGATTTATAATAAAATTCATTATCCCTGAGCTAAAAGGTCCAGCGCGTGTATGGGAGCCTCCAAAGGAGGGACCTTGAAAAAGTGAAAGCAAGCTCCACACAGAAAATAACTTGCCTTTGTTGTGCAATAACTTTTCGCTAATATTACCACAACGTTTTCCATTTATTGTAATTACGAAATGTTTCAGCCTTATATATTTTTTTAAAGATAACACAAAATACACCTTTTTATTTTTCAGTCTTCATTGCATGCATTTATAATATATATGTTCTATTTTGTACTTTTTTTGTTGTTGATCTTTTATGATTGCTAAATTCTGGCATATAAACGTATTTTTTAGTTATTATGAGAATCCTAAGTCACAATATTAGGTGGATTGGTTGACTTTATTAAGTTAATTATAATTTAATTAAATAAAATCCGTTTCCACAGGGCAAAAGTCGTTCCCCTGGTTATATCCTGGCTGCAACCCTATGGAACAATAGATAAATGGTCATTAACATAAAGTACGGGATTCTACGTTTGTCTTTAAAAGCTATTTTATCTTCCAGCAGAGTTATTTCTATAATTTGTTTGCCCCTAAGGAGTGAAATGTTGTGCCACTTTTAACTTTAGAGTCTGCATACGATGACAATAATGATCTACATGTTCATGAGCTCCACTGAGCCTGCTGTGTACAGAAAATTTTTTCCTGCTTTCTTCTACATTCTGATATTTGTTTCTTCTCAATATTTCCAAGGAGAATCCAGGATTGCTCTTGTCAATTGAGTGATCCTTAGAGTCCGTTGTACAAACTTGGTTTAAACTCATTTGTGACCGAGGTTTTTGGTTGGCTCTGAGCTGGGTGAAGCCGATGGTCGATGCAGCGAAAGGACTCGTGCAGAAGGCAGCCACGATGTTCAGAATGCGAGAGACGATGCTGCAAGTATCCTTACTGCTGTAAATAGTGCTGACGGCTTGCTCTAAATGTGAGTTGTGACCTCGAATACGTGTCTGATATACAGAACAGCCTGTAAACTCTGAAGGCGAGACCATTGTTTAAGCAGTGGTGACACTAGTGGACAACTTGTTAACCACAATTGGTCCTCACACTCAGTTTAGTAACGAACCGAGTTTAAATGTTGAACCTGGTTCTACATCGAATGGCCGTCGTTAAACCTAGTTTGGACTTAATCGACGTTCATTTCATAATATAAACCTGTATGCTGTGAAAGACTTAACTTTTGATCAACAAAAATCGAAAGTGATTTGAATCAGTTTTTTGTGTTCTAAAGTTTCAATAAACATTGACATTTTGTCATGCTAATTATTGAATGTCTTTTCTTATACATAGTTCTAACCGTGTTTTATTTTTCTAATCAGCAACAAGTTCGGCACTTCTATTTCTTTTACGATATAACACAATGCTTTTTTTTATCGCATATTTATATCTATCAAGTCGCGTCATCATTAGGTCGCGAAGTTTGGTAGAACGGTTTGTTCTTTGAACTTGGTTCAAATTACGAACAAAGTTCCAATGAACCCGGTTTAAACCGTGATTGGTGCAATTTCTACTCTGAGCCGTGACAGGGTTTTTCCCATTCGAGGATTAGTTTCCCCTGAAATTCTCCTTACATTAAGCATGGCTTTTTTTTAACAGTCTGCTTTCTAGCAATATTTTTTCCCCGTAAGTCCACTACTTTCAACATTGACGGAAAAATTGCCTTATTCGATTATTATATATTCGATATTATTAATGCGAGTTTTATTTTATGAGTTATTACGTGCAGTGTCAATGGGTTTTTTGCTGATTTGTTGTGGTTTTCCAGATACAGAGAAGACATCAAAGGGAAAATAGCAACAAGATATAATTATTTTCTAAGTGAAGAATTACCTCGAGTAGAAGAGGGCCGAAGACCTCGTTGGCTAAAATAGTCGGCTTCGAGGAAGAAACCTCCCCTTGCTGTACTGCGTCGATGGTCGCAGATGCTTGCTGTTCTTTTATATGCCGTATCTGGAAAAATAAAATAAAATAAAATTTGTCAATTGAAATTACTGTTTCTTTAAAAAGGGGTGTTTGAAACATTCAAACAAACAGTTTATTCATTCGTGGAAATTCGTCCTCTCGGGGCTTCAGCTTAGAAAACAATTTCAGTAATACAACTTCTTCGTGGAAATAAAACTCGTCCCGTTTTATTAGTACTTTAAAGTCCCCCGGGCTGTTATTAGGCCCTTTCATAGCTGCCCGTGAAAAACGGCAATAAAATAAAGAGTAAAATTACAAAGGGGGCGTTTAACTTTTCTTTTTGAACTAAGTTTGTCAAAGTGTGATAATGACGGATTTGATTAAAAATGTAATTATAAGTACTTGGATGTTGCTGTTAATGCTAATCCCAACAAAAACCTAACAGTGAAAAAAGGGTCAAGTTCCAGACCCCATGAAAAAAAAAAAAAAAATTGCCTATCAATGTAATAAGTTCGAACCCCGCTCGTGACACTGACTTTTTTTATCTCAACTAAAAACTTTAATTAATTTTAAGATATTAATTGGTCAAACGGACCACGCAAACTAGTGAATTTAATAAGTCAAAATGAAGTATACCTTCACTAAAGCTCTCCGTGGCCATTTCATTTGTCGCCGAGAATCAAATAAATTACACGACATTTGAAAAATGGCAAAAAGGAGGGAAATTCAAAGGTGGGATTGAGATGGTAAGTTGATGTCCGAGTGGATCTTAGTCACGATAGCTCAAATGGTAGAGTAGCGTATCTAGCCGAAGGTCGTGGGTTCGAATCCCGCTCGTGACAGTGATTTTTTTTATCTAACTAAAAACCTTAATTAATTGAAAGATATTAATTGGTCAAGCGGACCACGAAAACTAGTGAATTTAATAAGTAATATCTACACTATGTTCAAGTCCGCTCTTTTTTTAGAATTCGAAAGAAAAGATAAAAGTACCAAACTTTCCCAAAAAAAATCAGCCTATCAAATTAGTGAATATCTACATCGTGGCCAAACTTTTTACGAGCAATATTGTCCTTTTATTTTTATTGCTTAACACTTGGCCAGTTTTTGAATGAGAATAAAAACATCAGGACAATGTGTGTTCACATGGTAGGTGGAGAACTCATAAGAGAAGAAAAAATTCCCAGATTCCTCACTGCTCATTCAGAAACTGGCCAATATTTACTTGCTACATAAAATCTAACTTTTTGCCTCATTTCACGTTTCTAGCAATTCGGGAAGTACCTTATAATTTCGATGATCAGTGAGTCAGTCAGTAACAAAAATGCAAATTATGGAATTTTACTCTTTCGAAAAAGCTTAATATTAAGGGCTCTTACTTTTACAATGTTCTAAGCGCCCTACGCTTAATTTTCAAAATTCAAAAGCCTATTTATGCGGAAGCAGGGATATGAGAGTAAGAAAAACCGGGTGAATTGATTCGAGTAAAGATACATAGGCAGCTTGCTGGAACTTGGTCAGCGCACGGCTTGTTGTAAATACTAATACACAGCGAAATATAATATACATTTTATAAGTACAGACTATATGCTGGTCAAAGCAAGAGAAAGTGAAAAACCCCTCAAAAGTTGTAGTGAAACCATCAGCCTATTTAATCAGGACTACAATCTATTCGTAAAATTAGGATAAACAGCATCAAAAGAATTTTCTTGGCATTTGTGTGGATGAAAAAACTGAAACCAAAACAAGAACGGGCGTTTAGAAAATTCTTTTTATGTTATTTGTTCTAATTTAAGTAAGAAAGCTTGATTAAAGTTTTTGAGTTTTTTTTTTGTTCGCTTCCTCTCCGATACTCGTACAACACAGGTGACAACCATCAGAAATAACGCATCAAAAGTACCGACAATTAGTCATTCAAGACGAAAGAAAGAAAGAAAGAAAGAAAGAAAGAGAGAGAGAGAGAGAGAGAGAGAGAGAGAGAGAGAGAGAGAGAGAGAGAGAGAGAATGTCAAATTTTACAAATTATTAGAAAAACACCATTTAAAAAAATGCTCTCATTTATTAATCCATTTATGTTTAGTGGTCTGATTTTAATGATTTCAATTAATTTTGTGTGTGTGTGTGTGTGTGTGTGTGTGTGTGTGTGTGTGTGTAAGGTCTTGGTTGAGATGAAAATGTTAGTGTCACGAGCGGGATTCGAACACACGACCTCAACACGCCGCCGCTCTAACCGACGAGATGCACCAACTTTTTCATCTCAACCAAGATCTTACATAAAAAAAAGAACAATTAATTGCTCTAATTTATTTGAAAATTTTAAGGGATATCATTTGGAGTAAAAACATTTTCTAACATGAAGTGGACTTCTGTAATGCATTATTCTACACGAGAAATAACACAGAACGTTAAAATCCATCTGAAATGATAATAAAATAATTTTTAAATAGTTTTATAATAAATATAATATATTTTAAAGGTATATGAATCTCAATTATTTACACAACTTAGAAGTAAAAGGTCCGACGTCAGGCCTGGTAAAAGAGGGTGGCAATTTAGAAAGTCTTGGGCACAATTACTTTTACTTTTTGCCGTAGTTTTCAGCGTTTAATAATCAAAGTAATGTAACAATTTTGTTTCCAAATATTTATGCTATTTTTCCTTGCCGAAGGGAGGCCTTGATCTTGATTATCGGCTTTTCTTGATCTGCTTATTATTGCCGGTCGCTTCTTTATCATGCGATCAGTGAATGTAACAGTACTGGTCATGCCGTGGCAAGTTAATTTTAATCATTAATAATAATAGAGTTATGAGGATTGAGGAAATAGGAGAAGCTATGGAATAACAATCCGCGATAATCTGTACTAAATTGAAGATATAAAAAGCCAAATGACCTCACGAAATAATTACAAACTGAATTTTTGTCATTTTTTTAACGATGGTATTTCAACAGCGAGATTACACCCTCGGGGTGTCGGTGTTTTTGAAAAAAAGCTTATTTATATGTCGGGTTCAAATGTAGGATCGCGGGATTCGAACTCTGCACCTTTACCTTATAACGGCGCCTAGTTTCTTAACCATTGCGACCAACAAAGTGGCCCCCTATCAAATATTTTTTTCAAAATTAAAATTTCGTTACTTAGTCAATTTTGGTCGTTTTCCATATCGTAAAACGCAGCGAAGTGGGATTTCCAGCATGGAACAAATATTTGAAAAATTATTTAGGTTCTTATCTGGGTAAAAAATAATGTAATTTCTGTCATACAGGAGGGCTTAAAAATTATTTACCATTTAAAATTCCACGATCTAAGCCGGGATTCCAACGCCAGCGTGGCAAATAGAAGTGGGACGGCCTAAACCGCTTGGCCGCCGAAATTTCCCATCAAAATTAAAATATTTGGACTTAGCAGTTTATATAAGCGTATTGAATAATAATAAATAAAATGAAAGAACTTCGCTGAAATAATCGAAAAGCTGATAAATGATAAATAAAACATCGTTTGAAATATATTTTTTTTGAGTTTTCAAATTATTTTCAACGGGCTATGTTGGATTCTACTCAGAACCGCTAGCTTGTCAAATACCGGTAGTGGCGAACATACCTACTCCTATACATGAAAAATTTTCCGAAACGAATTTTTTTAAAATTTACGAATGTATGAAAACAACAGACTCCCTTGGTTTGTGAACGTCATGGAAATGTTAATCCCTTGGTACAGCGGGTGAGTGAGGGGTCATGCTGGAAATTCCAGCAAAAGAAAGGACCCTGCAGAAAACTACTGTCTAATGCGGTTCAAAATTTGAAGCTTAATTTTAATTCGCCGGGGCTAATTTGAAATGTGGAAGTCGTGTAGAATTTTTCTGCCGATTGGTATTTATCACATAAGTCGAGCTGGCTATTTTTTTTTTCATATAATAGTCTATCAGCCCCCAAGGCACTGTGAGGTCCTATTCGATATTCTGCCATCGGCCCTTTCAGTCACTCATTCATACAAGATTACATACTAACGTGGGAAAACACCATAGTTTCCATAAGAAACGGAACAGGGGACCCAATCTCATGTCCAAGGTCTGTCTTTCTATCGGGTACAATGCCTACTCGCTCCCTGTAAGGGCCAACTCCACGACCAAATGTAACACTGAGCGACCTTTCTCTACAAACGGGACCACTTGCGCGGGGTTTGCCACAAAAGCAGTTGTCCCCGTGTCAGTCTGGAATTGGGGGAAGCAAAATGATTTAGACAAAGTTTATGCAAATTATTTTCAAACAAGATGTCAAATAATTCTCCTGGACGAAAGGCAGTCAAATTGAACACAGTCAAAATGAAAAATAACTTTTTCAAAGATAAAAATATTTAAACAAGTGTCTATATTAAGATAATAACTGTAATAATCAATTCATTAACAGTTGAAATAATAATTGTTTTTTGATTAAAGAACGCTAAAAAATGGACGTATTTTCTTCTTCACTTTTTCTGTGTAAATCATACTTGAAACTTTATTATTTATTTTGATTAGGTTCTACATCATCAGGAAAAACAATTGATTTCTTTCAATTTAAGCGATCCATATTTCTTAATAAAGGCTATTTATATGCAAAAATTAAGAGACATGAATGGCACTCGGTAAACATATAAATATAATAATGAATCCAACCGACCTGTAAGTTAAATCTGCCGACTTTCGGCAACTTTTCCTTCTTTGTCCTTAAAGATGCAGATCAAGAAGGTAATTAAGATGATGATAAAATAAATGAAGGTCATTTCGGCTTTCGTAAACACTCAGAAACTTTGAAGGGTAGCTGTGGACGGCTCGAGAACTCGAACGTAACTAAATTTCTTGAGTAGGGGTTGGGCCAAAAAGAACCGTTCACCATCTTACCTGCCCCGTCCCTTATTTTAAAATACGACCCCCCCTAATATAGCTGTCTTCGGTAGTTGGTACATGTCCACCGTTTTTCTTAGTATGTTTTCAAACAATGACCCTTTCATGGAGTCAATATTTTGTCAATTTTGACTTGAAACGCTATAAGCTTTCCTGGTTGTTCGTTT